TAGAACTGGTAAATGACATACAATATATTTTGTGTTGTAGACCCTATAGAACCAATCAATGATATACAATGTATCTGGTTCAACTGGAAGGATAAGCTGGTATGTACATGGACACTACCACCGTACCGCTACATGGAATACATCCAGGTTGACCTTTTGTGGTAGGTTTGACAGGTTACTGTTGTGTCTGTACTTTACCTATATAAATCATCATCTATACGTAAGGTCAAAGTCATAGAAACATTCAAGGTTCATGCAGACTTGAAAAGGCCCGAAATTTGATGGGTTACCTTAAAAAATAAGATTTAAGGAGAAAATTTAAAAAGACAAACAACCAAAACCTTTTTTTATTGATCATGGATAGACATTCCAAAGGAACAAGGAAATATTGTTGAAGTTGGAGAGGAAGGGTTGGGGTTAAAAAAAAGACAAAGACATGTATTTTTGTATGGTGATGAGTGGGTAAATCAGGTGCCAGTAATATGAAGTAGCTTGACTTTTGTTAAAAAAAAGTTCTTTAATCTACATTAAAATTTGGTTTGACATCTCTGTATGGACCTTAAAATGTTGTGTCTCCTTCATATGTATGTGGAACTCCACACTTTGATCATTTCCTGTGTATCCGCAGTATAATCATTTCCTATGTATATAGAACTCTGCAGTATGATCATTTCCTGTGTATGAAGATCTCCACAGTATGATCATTTCCTGTGTATGTAGAACTCCGCAGTATGATCATTTCCTGTGTATGTAGAGCTCCGCAGTATGATCATTTCCTGTGTATGAAGATCTCCGCAATATGATCATTTCCTGTGTATGAAGATCTCCGCAGTATGATCATTTCCTGTGTATGTAGAACTCTGCAGTATAGATTGATAATTTCCTGAGTTTGTAGATCTCTGCAGTTTAATTTCCTGTGCTTTTAAGTCATGGCATGTTCAGCCAAGTAAGCTTTCAAACAAGAATTGCTTGGAATTGCTTTTCATTTCAAAAAGTGAGAGGTCAAGGTCACTTGTTACTATAAATAGAAAATCAATTTTTGCTCTGTAACTTAAGGTTTCATGGGCCAATCAAACTCAAACTTCATACAGGGCTTCCTTACCAGAAGAGCTTGCTTGAGATTGTTTTTAAAGTCTAACTGTAAAAAAAAATAATTGTGTAAATAGAAATACATTGTCTCCAAAATAATTGATTAGGTTTTATCAGGGTAGGGATTGCCTTGTTTTCAGGCCACCGTCATCAGTCGGTGGGACGTTTAAATCACCTTCCAAGGTCCATCATTCACCCACCACCCATCCTTAAACTTTTCTTGTAATCACTATTTCTCAGGGAGAACTGGACTGAAATCTCAAATATCATATGTAGGTTCCCCATAGTTTTTAATTTTGCATATTTCATTTTGAAACTGACAGATCATCATTTGCATTGGGGTGTTAAAAACAGGCTTAAAAGTAAATAGAATTTCATTGAATTTTGTAATAAATGTTTACAAATATATAGTGAAGAAGCGCTACTTATTATCAGTTTTATTGCCTTTTCTTTTGCACAAATCATATCAATAGTCACAATATGATATTATTTTCTAAACTTGTCCATCATTACTGGAATATGTTGTGAAATCTTTGATACACCGTTTAATTACAATCATACCATATCAGTGGTACGGTACAGTTTTATGCATTAACATCTACCTGGAATTGTATGGTGTCTGTTGTGGGCTACAGGTGTGTGAAGTTAGTCCTGATATGGTAAGTATGTAGACTGGGTCATCGTTGATGAAGATGTAAATGTGGTACGGTACAGTTGTGGGCTCCACGTGTGTGAAGCTAGTCCTGATACGGTAAGTATGTAGACTGGGTCATCGTTGATGATGATGTAAAGGTGGTACGGTACAGTTGTGGGCTACACGTGTGTGAAATCCTGATTCGGTAAGTATGTAGACTGGGTCATCGTTGATAATGATGTAAATGTGGTACGGTACAGTTGTGGGCTACACGTGTGTGAAGCTAGTCCTGATCCGGTAAGTATGTAGACTGGGTCATCGTTGATAATGATGTAAATGTGGTACGGTACAGTTGTGGTCTACACGTGTGTGAAGCTAGTCCTGATACGGTAAGTATGTAGACTGGGTCATCGTTGATGATGATGTAAATTTGTTACGTAACAGTTGTGGGCTACACATGTGTGAAGTCCTGATTCGGTAAGTATGTAGACTGGGTCATCGTTGATGATGATGTAAATGTATCTATTGAAAAAAATCAGTTCACGATTCTCTTCCTTTACTTCTTTTTTCACAGGTACTTTGGGTTTGAAATAAGCAGGTAATATTGTTATTTTGTGCACAGAGATGCTGTTATTTTTCAATTCTTGCTGCAGCTTCAACAGCAACCTTTGTTGTCTTCCCCTTATTAACCATTGCATGTCTGTGTACATGTATATGGGGACTTGGTGTCATGTTTGTAGTGGTAGATAACTCCTCCTGTTCCCTTATAAACCAGACCATGTCTCAGTTTTGTTTTTAGAGATAACTTATCCTTATACTTACTACCCTTATCCTTGTACTTACTACCAAAAGGAGATAATTAAATAGGTAGGGAGCAGCTCTTTAAGGTCAGAGGTAGATAAGTCCTCCTTTTATCAATTACCAAGAGTAGGGGATTCCTTTTTCACTTTTGGTCAAGGGTAGATATCTTGTTATTTGACTGATTACCAAGGGTAGATAACTTGTTATTTGACAGATAACCAAGGGTAGATAACTTGTTGTTTGACGGATTACCAAGGGTAGATAACTTGTTATTTGACGGATTACTAAGGGTAGATAACTTGTTGTTTGACTGATTACCAAGGGTAGATATCTGTTGTTTAACTGATTACCAAGGGTAGATAACTTGTTGTTTGACAGATAACCAAGGGGAGATAACTTGTTGTTTGACTTATTACCAAGGGTAGATATCTGTTGTTTAACTGATTACCAAGGGTAGATAACTTGTTGTTTGACAGATAACCAAGGGTAGATATCTGGTGTTTGACTGATTACCAAGGGTAGATATCTTTTGTTTGATTGATTACCAAGGGTAGATATCTTGTTATTTGACTGATTACCAAGGGGAGATAACTTGTTATTTGACTGATTACCAAGGGTAGATAACTTGTTATTTGACAGATAACCAAGGGTAGATAACTTGTTGTTTGACTTATTACCAAGGATAGATAATTTATTGCCATTCTGAAGTTCACATTATTTTTGGCAAATGCATGGGATTTTGGTTTAAATTTTTTCATATTCTCATCCTTGTGGCCTTTCTGACGTTCACATTATTGTTTTTGGTAAAAACGTTTGATTTTGTGTAAAATGTTCCATTTTATGCCTTGAATAGGCTGAGCACCTGTAAAATCATATTTATCCTATTTTTGTTGGATAAAGATATCTATCTTGTTTTGTAAACAATAAATGTGATGTTGAGAACAGGTTTTTCAGGTGTCTGTAAAACAAGAATGCATAAAGGTTTCACTAGAGATAATTCCATTGAATAACTGGCTGATAGTTTTAAAATCTTTCCAAATTGTAGTTACATGGTATTTTCATCATGATTATCCCTTTCACCACTGTCGACCATAATGGACTCATCCATATCAATGCATGGTAGAGTCTACTAAAGTTACCTAGGGGTGAAAGGGTTATGAGCATTCAATCAGGAGACATAAAACACCAGTATCCTTGTTATATCAAATTTACAAAAAGGTGATGGATATTTCAATCTCACTTTCAGTATCTCATTCATTAGTACACTATACAAGAAAAGTGGTTTCTGATTTTCCCTATTTTGAGATGATAATGAATTTTTAAAAGTTAAACACTTGAATTTAACAAGGCTCATGTCCTAATAAATTATACCCACTCTGCATGGTGTGAACTAATTATTTATCCATTGTGAAGCAAACTCTGACATCTTAGGAAAGTTGAAGATGAAGATTACCTACATATGATTAGATGTGTAAGGTTAATTTAAATGTTATACTCTACAATCTAACTTACCTTAAATCAGACAGGTTAAAATTTACACAACTAAGGCAGGTATAATATCAATTTGCAAAATTCTATGACCATCAAAATATTATATACAAAAGTTCTATTATACATACCCTTGATCATACTCTTGTGTATCATAACTTATGTATCTAGTCAGTAACAGCCCACGTTGACCTCTATATGTATCTAGTCATTAACAGCCCACGTTTACCTCTATATGTATCTAGTCAGTAACAGCCCACGTTGACCTCTATAGACCTCTATATGTATCTAGTCATTAACATCCCACGTTGACCTCTATATGTATCTAGTCAGTAACAGCCCACGTTGACCTCTATATGTCATTATATTCTTTAGCCTAGGATTCATCTCTTTACCCTTCATAATTCTTCAGGTGAATCATTTAATGAAAATGTTTTGTATTTTAATCTTCATAAATGTACCAGACATACAAATATGTGTCTCTCTCCATTCCAACACAAAGTTTTTCCATTTCTACTTGTTTCTCCTGTCCAACAAAATGTTTCTCCATATCTCCTCACTTTTCTCGACTCCTTCCTTACAAAACGTCTTCCCTTTCTTGAAAACGTTTCAAGAAAAAGTCCTACTCAAAGGAAATAAGTGTCTCACGTCGAGATATATTTACCTATTTCACTATTCCCACAAATATTTTCCCGTCCTCACCTCAGTTCTCATGATATCTACAAATTGTTGCACAATTCATGCAGTGCTTGCTTATCAGCCCGTCTCCTTTCCCACTTTTCTAGTCTGCTACTCAGTGGCTCACAATATTACGAGGGTACCCCAGTCTCACACATCTTCCTCCACTCACATTGTCTGGTCAATCTGTTCATTAACGATTCGTTCGTTTGACCTATTTATGCACATCTGTCATTCCTCATCAAGTGTCAGTCTCTCCACTCATCCCTATACTTGTCTATGTATGGTCAATGTAAAGGTCAAGGTCATATCGAGAAATAGTACACGGTATGACACACTATTGGTAAAATGTTATTAGTTTCATCTAAACACCTAAGTGTTAACCTAGAAAGAACATATTGATTAACAGTTGTAATTTTTACTGAATGACCTTCAGGGGTAGAGTGACCTTCAGGGAAGGGTTGACCTTGTGGGACTGTCCTTTGTTGAGTAGGACCACCTGTACATGGGATGCCAGAGAGGATACCATATACAACAGCTATATATACATCAACCTCACTGTAGCAAACATTCACGGTCCCCCAGCAGTGCCCTTTATCAAAGTGATCAACACTGCAGAAATCGGTAAACTGTTGATCTATGAGTTCATCATCTTGTTACACTAACATCAGTGCCTCAACTTTAAATCTGCAGATCATTAATTTTCAAACTCAGACAGAAAGACTCAGCTTGATTATAAATATGGATCCTAGATTAATGATAAAATAGGCATGGAAACATATCTTAAGCTCATTATCCTACTAATAGATATCTCTCAAATACATTAAAACCCCAGGTTAACTTGTTACACTAGAACCTCAGGTTAACTT